TGAGGATTCTTCTGCTGACCATCTGCAGGTGTGCAGTTATTATGGTTAAGAATTATGCTGCTGGCCATCTTCAGGTGTACAGTTATTATGGTTAAGAATTCTGTTGCTGGCCATCTGCAGGTGTACAGTTTGGTATGGTTAAGGATTCTGCTTCTGGCCATCTTCAGATATACAGTTTGTGATGGTTAAGAATTCTGTTGCTGGCCATCCTCAAGTGTACAGGTTGGTATGGTTAAGAATTCTGCTGCTGGCCATCTTCAGGTGTACGGGTTGTTATATTTGAGGATTCTCCTGCTGGCCATCTGCAGGTGTACAGTTATTATGGTTAAGAAGTCTGTTGCTGGCCATCTTCAGGTGTACAGTTTGGTATGGTTAAGGATTCTGCTTCTGGCCATCTTCAGGTATACAGTTTGTGATGGTTAAGAATTCTGCTGCTGGCCATCTTCAAGTGTACAGGTTGTTATGTTTGACGATTCTGCTGCTGGCCATCTTCAGGTATACAGTTTGGTATGGTTAAGGATTCTGCTTCTGGCCATCTTCAGGTATACAGTTTGTGATAGTTAAGAATTCTGCTGCTAGCCAACTTCAAGTGTACAATTTGTTATGGTTAAGGATTCTGCTGCTGGCCGGTTAGGCTGAAATTTGTAGTGTCTAATAAAGGAATACAAAGGAACAGTAATGACCGACGTTGCATATAGACGACACGAAAGCTCCAAAGCCAGATCTACCGTATACAGTGCAACCTGATGCTGAAATATTACATAAAGACGATGTTAGAGTAAAAGGGAAGTGCAGATATGTCGTAAGTACAAAAATATTTGCACTAAGTTTTACCAATTACTCTATGTAAGTTCGCTCCTATTCTAGCAGCTGTATCGACGACAGCCCCCCCCCCCAAACCCACACCCACCTTGCGACAGCACTCGGAGAAGTTGCCACATCCTCTTCCAAAGCTGAATCTTCGTTTCAGAAGATCAGCTTGAAACTTCGTCTCTAGAAGGGAACAAAGGATTGGATCCTTGATTGATGGCGAACGTAATCCATCAATAGCAATGTTCAGACGTCGCCGTGCGTGCCGAAATATAGTAGGAACCCCATTTCTTATTTGGAATGGGCTTATCATTGCACCGTAATTTGTCTGAGATATTTTTAACATGTAGACGTTTCAAGGAGCAGAACACAGCAGCCGCGAGGTCTAAGACATGAACTATCTTCGTTCGGTCGAACGCTGCAGTCATGGTTTTGAATCCCACTAAATTCAGTGGTGTCTGTTTGCGTTTATTCTGTGTTTATGTTGTTCTGCGCATAGGTAGCGGCCTAACGAAGGGCTCATCCCCTGTGCAAAGAGTCTTACAGGCTGTGTATAGGATTAAGAAACTGAAGAAATGGTCAAGATCCAAGAAAGGCCTGTGGAGCCATGGATGGATGGATGGATGGTTGGATGGATGGATGGAATAACTTTTCGGAAAATTTTTTCAACAAAAAAAAAGCCATAAATATGCAGAAAATCTGAAGTATTCAGTTTCAATTGCTACCGCTGGAACAAATAGAGAAAATGAAGCCACAGTCTACATATCAGGATAGTGGAAATGAATAAGCAGGTTAATGTAGCGGTACACTTTTAGACCTTTATTCCAGAGGTACTCAATTCTCAGCCTGACCATAAACTGCCCCGTCTAAGTTTTTCAGCTTTTGAAGAGAATGGTGGAATATTTTGTATCTTTAAATAGGCGTACAGAAACATACCAAAACGTCGTATACCGTGTAATAAATATAAACCAGACAATTGGTAATGTCCAGTATTTTAGGTACAATGAATAAAATTTATAATACCACTGGAGTTCTCTTTCTTCATATAATCTACGTAACAAATAATTTTACTTGAACAGAGAAACCTGCCGAAACGTCTTATAATTTATATTAATATACTTCAACCAATATGGACTCTACAATAGATTCAAAACACATCGAAACATTTAATAAAAATATAAGCGTACTTAATCGAATTTCCTTTCATACCTACTTAATCAGGAGTGAACTAATGTTGCTGACTGTCAGCTTATTGATTGTATTTATATATTTCTTTATCTGATCCTTCGTTTTCTTCATTCGGTTCTTCTTTAATTTCTTTTATGCTTATTTCTTTTAAAGATTCTCTTTTAGCCTACTTTCCTTATTTTGATAAAAATAAATGTATGCTTATGAGATCACCTCCTTGTGTGCGTGTGCCTGTATGTGTGTGTGTAAGGGATGGGCTATAAAATCCGGCCCTTGCACCGCGACCTTAAATGATCTGTTGTGCTTCCCCTTTGGATTAACCCTTTATCAATCCTACACTTCGAATGAAATGTAGGACTCTATTTATGGGAGCGTCATAAAATCACTTGTTTTGTGAAGAACTGACCCAGGTGACAAATCTTAAGTAAGCTATGGCCTCACAATCACATAGGTTATGTGTGGCTGATTCGTCTTATTGTAGGCACCTTTCACAAGTTGGGTCGTCTTTCAGCCCCAGTTTGAAAAGGTGCCCTTTTAGGTGGCAGTGCCCAGTAAGTAATCCTACCACCCATCTTAATTTATCTCTGTTTAATTTTAACAGGTCCTTCGTATTTCTGGCAGAGGGTCCTGATATAAATCTCTTTGCCTGTTTGAATCCAATTGTAGATTCCCAGTGTTTTTTGTATCTGTATGTATATCCCACTTTTAGCTTTTGAATGCCATCTCAATGGCGTCATTCATAAATCCCTTCCATCAGTAATACCAACATTACAACCCCTCAAATTTCTGAGGCACAATCTTAATACTGCTCTAAAGCCTGTACCAGTCTTCATGGAACTTGGTATGTATATCGTAACACAAGAAACCATCTCAATACTATATTCCAGAAGTCCCTTTTGCCAGTATTTCCTCTCAATTTTTTGAGATAAGAACTTAATATAACGCCCGAACCACTCATCATGAAACCGGTATGTATATCATGCCACGTGAGGCCATATCAACGGCGCACCTCATAAATCAGTTCCATCAGCCTCCAGAATTTGTATTGTTTTCTTGAATTCATTTCACGTACATACTAAAGTTTTCTTTCTGCTTTTATCAGATACTAAAATTATAGTGAAAGGAAAGTAGATGATTAGTTCTTCACAAAACTCCGTATTTTTTTAATCGTCTTCTTCTCTGAAGAAGATTTTCTGGGATGCAGCGCCGTGTAATCCTTTGAAAACAAACCGACGTTTCGGAGGAATATATCGCTTATACCTTCAGTGTCGGAAAATAAGAGTAACAAGAAACTACGATGAAGCAGGTAGCAAGCAGAACGTCTACACAGCCTTATATCCCTAAAGACAGAACTCTTCATAACCAACGCTGAGATAACCTCAGATCCAACATGCATCCCTCTCTGTTTATTTTCCATTCAATGCATTTCTATGTTTGCCTCTTTTTTCGTGTCCGCAACTTTGCTGTTTTGTTAATTTTGTCTTTAGCTTATCTTTTTTTTTTCTTAAATGTGCCGCAGTATTCTAGCCGAAATGAATAATATTTGCTAACTTTCCAAGGCTCGAACATATTTCCATGCGTCTTGGGTCTGGAAGGAAAATGGAGCTGACAAATAAAGTAGATACGATACAATTAGGTTTTGAAGAGAACAGTACGGCACATAAACTTGGTGATAACATGTCTCTGTCCACCATAGCGTTTCATGTTTGTGACTTTGCATAAATGCTAAAGTGTATAAGGAAATTACCCTCGGGAAATCATTGAAGTGCTCTGGTTGCTGTTATTTCAAATATTTTATTAAGTTTTGAGTTTAAAATTTCCCACCCTCCTTTACGTTGGGAATATTTGACAAGTGATATTTTCTTGTGGTTGGCAATTCTAAAACTCTTATCGTACAGAGAAAGTTCTTCCAGATATTCAAGTTAATATCTTGTTTGATAGACTAAACGAAGGGTAAATACCGGGTCAATACCGGTTACTCAGATAGACAAAGAGATAGTCCAAAATAAGCCAAAAGGAGTACAAGATCTTGTCTATTATCATGTCTTACAATTCTCAGTATAATTTAGAAAGAATCTCTAGAAATCGTACAGTCTTAGAGAGGATTTCACTGTCTCTTTGGACATCATAGAGGCGTAAGTTTAAACAATCGAGTAATTTTAGCAGCATGTCCAGAAATATGATCTTTGGAGAGATTTGCATTCAGCTGAGGGCACGTATCTCATCCAGCGATAAAAAGAATGAGAGAAATATCAGGGGATTATTCAGATAAGGGAGGTACCTACTGTCTTGCATCATGTGTATTAGATTCATAATAAAAAGTCCAAGGATTTATTGTACATACGACCTACTTCGTATTCCCCCCCTTGCTTTTTCTGTGAATGAAATCTCTCTCCTCTTTTGTTTTCAGAAAAGAGAAGCTGCCAAATGACGTCAGTAGTTACAACAACTACTCGTATTTGGAAGATATTTATGATCTAGTTTCGGAAGCTGAAGGTAGGTGCCATGTTCTTCAACACATATAACTTTGTAATTTCTTAGAAAAAACACGATTATAGCTTTAAAGGCAGTGCAGTTTTATGTATAATGTATTTGCATATATGAATTTCTCATAGTTATCATACTTTGAATTTGAGTGATTGTCACATCGGCCTCGTATTTGTGAGTTTATGGATTTGAATTTCGACCTGCAGTCCGGGTATCCTACTGAGGTTTTCCGTCATTTTCGTTAGAACCTGAAGTCAAATGAGGATGCAATTCCTTAAAATAGCCACGATCCCTTCTACTTGGTATTCACGAACTTTATCATTGATAAACATTTTAACCGAAGCCATGTTACTTCTGCATCTGAAAAAAAGCGTCGTTAAATAAACAAAGAAACAAACATTGTAATATTCATGAGATTATATATTACAGTGCTGATCAGAGTGGCCGCGCGGTCTAATGCATGGACTGTCTTCGCTCTTTCCAACCCTGGAATCGTGGATTAGAATCCCACTAAAAGCGTGGATATTTGTGTTTATTCTGTGTTTGTGTTGTCCTGTGTGTAAGTAGCGGCCTTGCGACGGACGGATCACTCGTCCAAGCAGTCCTACCGGCTGCGTAAAAGATCACGGAACTGAAGAAGAGGCCAGGGTCATACAAAGGACTGTAGAGACATTGATGAATGAATGAATGAATGAATGAATGAATGAATGAATGGATGGATGGATTGATGAATGTTGTCATGTGTAGGGGGGTAAGCGTGAAGAATATAACATCTTCTAGATCGGATGATTAGATTTATTGGCATTTGAGTTACAATTTCTCTTAATTACACATAATACAAAGGTATCGCTGATTTACTCAATTTCCAGGTCACCGTTGCACACGCACTAGGATTCTCAGTTTCCACTAGTCGTCTCCTGACATTGGATATCAAAACAGAAACTAACTTTTCAAATCAGTATGAAGTCTTATTGCCATTTCATTTACAATCGCCCCGGAACCTCGAAATTCAACTAGAAACTCTTCTGTAGTCTACACTGCACTCCTCTGCACTCTGCACTAATCTAACCTGCAACAAGTCTTCCTTATATAGGCTCCGAAAGAACAACATAGAAAACACAAGTCACGTGTTCCCTAGCCATCGAGTTCATTGGCGCGCTTGAGTGTTGCCTAACAACGAGCTATAACATTTGTCCACTGAAACACATCTTCCATTGTTGCACGTTGTAAGGTGTTTACCGAGCCGTTGCCTAGGAACACTTTGAGCAAACCCGTTATAATATATTACAGTAAATATGATAGATATTCAATTTCTTTATTAAAACCTTCACAACACAACTATATTGAGGTCAGTACCAAGTTTGGCTCTGCTACATGTTTCGACTACCGAAAGCCATCATCAGACAAATACATGGCCAACATATATACACCACTGAACTGCAGTACTAGTAAAATTGGATACAATAATATTAATTATATTAAAATACTTGGCGTAAAAGTACAATAAATTAGACAATATAAAACGAAAGTTATAGAATAAAACAAGTTTAAAATTCTTCAAGTGATGCTTTACATCATCGAGTAGCATGTAGCAGAGCCGAACTCGGCACTGACCTTAATATAGTTGTGTTGTGAAGGGTTTAATAAATAAATTGAATATTATAACAACAGGAAGCATGAAATGAAAATGATAGATGTCGTTACGTTATGACATTATTTTTGTAGGCGAAATTAATTTCATTTAAACTGACTTTAAAGTGCAATGTTCACTGTCCACTTGATAGGCCTACAGACTGAGTAACCAGCTGGTTGGGTACTAACTAAATGCCACCTTCGTGATATATGATTTTCTTCTTTATTGGCCCTGCAAACCTTCCACCTCCATTGCCCTCCTCCATAGGCTGTGGAGTTTACGTGACAGATTTTTCCGGAGTGAGGTTGTTAGAACAAATCCAAATTCCCCACTTAGAGGGCCCCTGACCCCTACCTTTAACCAGTCTGGTATGTGTGGCCCTACCAGGAATTTACACTCCCGGCAGCATATCTCTCCGGGTCACTGGGGCGCGCAAACCTCCTTTCCGCGGTAAGGCGGTACTTCTCGAGGATGGTACAGGCTTGTAATTAATGAATAGTTTCTCAGATGTACAAAGGATTCTGTGTACAATTAGAATCATCACCGTCGTCGCAGTATCATTGCCACTTCACGAAGTGTAATGCGCACAACTGTGTAATTACGAATACCGAACTTGCAGAGTCTTGTTTCAAGATATGTTTACTCTGTAGCACGGATAATAATATACAACCCGCATATGCTTTTGATCCTGCTGCCGGAGTTATTGTGAGGGCTTTCTCTTTGCTTACCCATTTACTTTCAAATAAAAAACAAGGAAACTAAATTGTAAAGTTCGGCTGTTAAGTCTACCTGAATTATGTAGCACGTAATACAGAACGCACCGATAACAGAGAATCATGGGTTCGAAACCCACTCAAGGCATGAATGTCTGTGTGTGCATTTATTCTGTGTTTGTGTTGGTCTGTGGGTAGGTAGCGGCATTGTAACAGGCTGATCACTCGTCCAAGGAGCCCTACCGACTGTGTAAAAATGATTACGAAACTGAAGAAGAGGTCAGGGCCAAACAAAGGGCTGTAGAGCCATTGATGAAAAAATAAATGAATGAATCGTTGAAAGCAACTTCAGTGTGACAGCCACAGATTTCTCACATGAGAGCAACAGTGTCTTACTGCGAAAGCACAAACGACACCACCTTTCTGATACATGTGTTACCATAATTAGCCCGCATCATAGCTTAGACGGTTAGTGGTTGGCTCTTAAGCGCGGCGGTGCGCGTTCATTCCTAGGTCACTTCATGTGAGATTCGTGGTGGACAAAGTGGCAATGGGGCAGGTTTCCTCCAGGTATATCAATTTCCCCTGCCAATTCTCATCTCACCGACTGTTCCGTACTCATCATAATTCAGGGATGGTATAATAGGACCCCGTTGTACTAAGTGGACTCAGTTTCACCCCACCCCATGGATAAAAAAAATAAAATTTCAGCACCTTACTTCTCGTGACAGCAACCAGTATCATGGCGCTTTTCGTGTTTCTTTTTGGCTACCCATCCATGGAAGTACTGTGATAACACATCAGAGTAACCCACAACCACTTCCTTGCGAATATTTTTACAATTCCAAGTTCAAAAGCATGGGTTCTGTGTGAGGATCGGGGGCAAGGCAAGCGTCTAGCTCACTTGAACTAAAAAAACGTTATAATTGAAGAATTAAGGAAAGGATCCAAGTATTGATTGATACCTCACTCACCAATTCACGGAGCTGAGCCCTTCTTGAGAAGCTGCGACTTGTGCAGCTTCTCAAGAAGTTCCCAGGATTTTAAGAAACCCGAAGGTTCATTACCGTGTTCACAAGAGTCAGATTAATCCAGTTTATACCATCCCATTTCTATATCTCTAAGAACAATTTTAATACTTTCCATCCATCTATGTCTTGGTCTTCCCAGTGGTTCTTTCCTTCTGGCTTTCCCACCAATATCATATATGCATTCATCTTCGCCCCCATTCGTGCTACATGCAAGTATTGAAGGTATTAATACTACAAATTATTTTTTTAAATGTAGGGCCATCTGGGTTTCGATACAGAGATCCACGACCATAGGGTGTTCTGTAGTGATATTCTTAAATGAAAAAGTGGTTCATTTCCGTTCAGTGTGACTTGTTAAGATTTTCTTATTTCAATTATTCATGTCCTTACATGTTTCGGTCTCCAGAGATCATCTTCAGAAGGACACCCTTACGTCAATACAGTTAGAAGCCACTATTACAGTATATGTTCCAAAAGTTAAAATATATACTTACAATATAAATAATATACAATTGGCTGTAAAATCTGAAGTCTTTACAACTACAGCGGCTGTTCCAATACTTTATTTATAGTTAGTTTGTTAAAATTCTATTGGAATTCGTAAACCAAGCTGGCTATTGTCGTTTGCGAATTCCAATAGAATCTTAACAAACTAACTATAAATAAAATATTGGAACAGCCGCTGTAGTTGTAAAGACTTTAGATTTTACAGCCAATTGTATATTATTTATATTGTACGAGTATGTATATATTTTAACTTTTAGAACATATACGGTAATAGTGGCTTCTAACTGTATTGATGTAAAGGTGTCTCTCTGAAGATGGTCCCTGAAGACCGAAAATGTAAGGGCGAGAATAATTGATATAAGAAAATCTTAACAAGTCACACTGAACGGAACTATTTAGCTTTTTCATAATATTATTAGTGTGACGGACCAGAATGAAACAAATCAAATTCTTAAATGAA